AATAATAATGATAATATAATGATTTTTCAATTCACAAAGGAATATTATAATAAAGGTTTCACTGTTTAAGAAATATTACAATGGCAATTTAACAACGCAATTATATTAATAATTATCTATTTACTGAAGAACTATTTTAGTAAGAGTCAAATTATAGAGGAAATGTTTAAGATTGATTATTTAATTCATGATAGTTTACTAGAATAATTACGTTTTTTAATTTCCTTAATTAAAGCAAAAACATATAGAACGATTTTCTAAAATGTCATTTATTCTTAAAGAAAAATACCTAGTAATAAATATATTTATTAACAAAGCATTCGCTCAAGGAATATTGCACAGAAACTGCATTTTTTTCATATTTTTGCACATTCCTTCCGGGAACACTACATTACTTCGAAAATTTTCCATCCTCTGCTGCATCAAGCAGAGAGCAGCTGGTTTCAGCTCTCTTGAACTCATTGTTCTCATGCTTGCCCATGGATCAAGAATTCCTCATTCAAAAAAAAAAAAAGAACAAAATCTCAGATATAAAAGAAGAAGAGGGGAAAAAAAAGGTCTTTTCCAAACCAGGCAGTGAAAAAAAGTTTCAAGAGAGGGAAGAACGAGTATATACAAACGCTTTGCAAAATTTTCTAGATCTCTTATGACGCGATAGGTGAACGGATGTTAAAGAACTTGAAGGGAAAAAAAGGGGAAAAAAACCTCTTAAAATTTGAAGAGGTACGAAAGATGCCGACAAAGAATCTAGATTTCCAAGTGTGGTAGTGCATACGTGTGGTTGAGAATAATAAATACTCCGTGAGATGAGAAAATACTTGTTCATTGTAAATTTTTTTTATGCCTTAACAACACAGAAAAAAATGATATTGTTCTTTTGATAAGAATAGGGGAATGATACGGATGATGTAGAATTACATTTTTATATGATTAATTGATTACCGTAAAGAATAGTTTTTGCTCCAGTGAATTAATTGTTTGTTATTAGAATGTAAAGTCGGCAGATTTACGATAGAATGTAGTTCAAAGAGATTTTGAAATAATGTGGTAAGTATAACAATACGGGCTTGGGCATGTAGTTTTGATCATTACTTTATTGGGTTTCATTCTGTGGAAAACCTTTTTTTTTTACTTCACAGAGAATGCAAATAATATTTCTATCGGCGTTTTACAATAGAATTTATCATTCAAA